CAGTTAAACTTGACAAGAACAACTGAGACAAAATAGAAAATAATGTAAAAGGCAATGCAAGATACAAAATAACGAGTTTCTTTGTCAGCAATTGACGTTTGTAAACGTTTTTGAATATTTTTTAGCTTTTTAAAGTGAAAGTCTAGGTCTTTATACAATAACATCTCTCAACAACACAAATTTAAGCTCATTGTTATAATCATACTTGCTCGCGAACGGCTTAACAAACAGTTGAATATTTGGTGTAAATTTATATTTCATTCAGTAATTAAATAAATTATCTGTAGAAAGATATAGAATTATTGAATGAAAGTCTTCTTTGTTTTGCCGATGGGACCTCGTGATAGGAGGCGAACTGCATTTTTCTTGAACGAAAAACATACGATAGTTGGTTAAAAACAACCGAATTGTTAGAGATTCACAAAGCTAAATAAAGGACGAATATTTGTTGTCGTAATATGCTCTCTGTGTTATATTTCCTCCAGCATTAAAATGAATTAAGCTTATCGATAGAAATATAAAAATTTTTGAGAGAAAGTCTTTGATTTGTCGATTCGTCGAGAAAAATGCTTGTCAAAAAAATATGTACGATCGTTTGCTAAAAAACGCACACCTGAATTCTTGAASAACACTTCTTGATCCATCTTTGACTACATGAAAGTTTTTTTTTAATTGTTTTGGTCTATAACTTGTCCTAAAGCGATTTTTTCTGTGCATTTGAGAGCCGCATTTGTGAATAGTTTTGCTTTGACATCAAGCGGGATTCCTGTTTTGTGTACACGGACGTACGTACGTAAGGGCGGACGGAAGTGACGTCAGCCAAGCCATGAAAAATCAACTCGATGGTTTACCATTTTTTCTTAAGTATGGTGCTTCGCTCGTGCGGGCCGAAAGCCCGCGCGGAAGCTCCGCTATTAAACTACTATACTATGACAAAATCAAGGCACGGCCAACTCACAAATCAACCTTCATTTCAGCTAGTTTAGTTTTGTGGACGAAGAAAAGCCCCTCAGTAATCATCAGATTGTTGCTAGTTTCGTTCTTCGATTTATTTTGGCTTCTTCTTTTGTCCTTGTAGATTTATTGTGGTCTAGAAAAGAACACCCCATGGACATTAAAACCAAGGGTGCGCGTTTTATTTAATTGGTTTTACATCAATTGCTTTGCAGGTGCTGATGCAGTGCAAGAGACGGCTTGTGCAGTGCTGTCTACCAGATGCCATTGTCAGGTTACATTACAGTAAACTACAACACGAAGCAGATAAGCTGTGGGATCTGTACTTCAAGCAGCAACAACATTCCAGCTTAGCATCGTTTCTGTCCAGTGTAGACAATACAGATCACCAAGATGGTCTCTTGATCCAGGTATAGTGGTCACGTGAATTAATCAAAGCTTTTTGAATGGATAGAGGAGATGATCGCATATTAGTTTTAAATTGTCCGTCAAATGTCATTGATTTTTGACCATGGTAGAGGCTTGTGCAGAGCTACGTTGACAGTACACAGTCAGTCATGTCTTGTAGTGTTATGTCGTGTCGTGTCGTTTAGTGTCACTCATGTCACTCACGTAAGTCATGTCATGTAATTCATGTAAGTCATATCATGTCAGTCATGTCATGTCAGTCATGTCTTGTCATGTCAATCATATGTCAATCATGTCATGTCTGTCATGTCATGTCTGTCATGTCATGTCAGTCATGTCATGTCAGTCATGTCATGTCATGTCAGTCATGTCATGTCAGTCATGTCAATCATATCCTGTCAATCATGTCATGTCAATCATGTCATGTCATGCCAATCATGTCATGCCAGTCATGTCATGTCAATCATATCATGTCAAGCATTCATGTCAATCATGTCATGTCAATCATGTCATGTCAATCATGTCATGTCAGTCATGTCATGTCAGTCGTGTCATGTCAGTCGTGTCATGTAATGCCAGTCTTGTCATGACAGTCATGACGTCAGTCATGGAGTTATATTTAGTTTTAGTACCAATTTTATTATCATCAGGTGTCGACCCACTCCAAGCTTCTTTCGGAACAGAGCCTGAAAGAGATAGGACGATCGCTTAATCTACACCATCAGGCCATATCCTGTATCACACTGCAACAATTCCAAACAGAACAACAGTTCTGTAATAGTGTAGGGTTGGTATTTAAAAATCAGTCATTTCAAATTTTAATTTTAATGAAACAAACCCTGGTGAGAGGCGAATGCCGACCGATACACCACCATTGATTATAAGTAACGTCAAACTGCTCATCATTTTGCTATTACTGGCCTTCCTGTATCTTTTAACTAGGAACTTCTTTGCGAAGCAAGGAGGGGGAGAGTGTCTTTTGATTGTCCAGTGCAGTACAGAAGATTTGACATTCAACTTGTTGGCTTGTGCTCGACATCATCTCCTGAAGCAGCGTTCCAAAATCACAGAAGAAATTCACGAAGATGTTGAACCGACTCACATCATTGTCATCATTCAGCTTCCCAAGATGTTTGGTCGCTATCCCAACTTTGTTGGTTTCCAGGGGCAACGATGGGAGTCTGTTCACATTGACGAACTTTTCACGCCCTCTTTTTATGTCCCTTCCTTTGAAAACGTTAAAGACCATTCTCTAAGTGACCTCTTTGCAGCATCTATTGACATGTGTTTTTCGAAGACTGATGAAGAGGAACAAGTGTTAGATGCTGTTGATGTGCTAAGGCAGTCTGTGCAGGCAGCCGCGGGACGCATTGAAGATGGACCACAAACAGTCGCTAGGGCAACCAAGAGAATTGTGATATTGTTAAGTTTGCTCAACAAGGACAAAAGTGAAGGTGAATGATGATCAAGACTCTATGATTATCATATATGATTTATATAGCGCCCTTTCTATGTGTATACTCAAAATCCTTTACAATCATGAGAGGTGGTTAGTATGAGTGTAGGCACTAAAGGTGGTTACTGCCGGTGTTTTTCAGGTTTGTCCCACCGATATTGGTTAGTAAGGTTAAAGTTTTATTGTGTTTTCGTATCAGCAGAACTCGATGAAAACTCCTTCTCGCATGTCCTTCTTCGTCGTGTGCACCATCTTCTAAAAGAAAAGGACGCATCGGCCCCAAAAGAAGGAGCAAATTGGTCCACATCAGAATCTCTCGAGTCTTCTGAGCTCCAAGTATGTGGGACGTACAGGAAAGCATTATGGCGTCGAATCCAGAACGCGGTTGTTCCAATACTATCCGAGATGATCGCGTACATGGATAGAGATGGGAATCTAGAATTACTACAGACAGATGTACCCTGGATTAAAGACCTATGGCTAAAGATCTTTGCAGATGATAAACTGGCTCAACTCAACTATGATTCATTTCTAACAAACGATGATGAAAGGCGACTCAAAAATCACGTGCCCGTGACGTCATCTGGACGAGATTCGCATTGGTTTCAATGCCGGCTTCCATTCTCGTGGCTGTTGAAAGAAAACATCGAAAGTATTTGGCTCCAGGCAAAGAGCGTGTCAGGTTAGTTGTGAATATTATGGCGCGGGTTTGATTCCCTGCTGAGCCACATATGTGGCTCTATTGCCTCTATTCTCTCCTATGCTACGAGGGTTTTCTCCAGATTCTCAGGTTTTCCTCCCTCCGTAAAAATCAACATGTGAGTTGAGTGTTGTTTTTTGTCATTAGTGAATGTAGTGGTAGTGCATGTGAAGCGAACCTTACGGAAGAGCTCCTTACGGGAAGTGATGGCTGTATTTTTTTCATTTTTTTGGAACTGAAGGATGTTTATGGTAAGGTAGCCTTTACCTTTCCATTTGTTCGTCAACTTACCCGCATGCGCACGCTAGTCTTTAGTCCTGTCTACATCTCGCATGTCTTTAGTCCTTAATCATGATATTTCTTCTCTTAGAAAACTCCAATGAACACAGCATCCAAGAATGCTTTCAAAGATTTGTCGCGCACTCAGACATTGCTGATGAGATACATGTCATCGAGAAGAACCAGGATGCTATGGAGAGATACATCCACGACTTCGTACACATGAACTGTAAACCTGTGGAGCAAGGAGAAGACGAGGTAGATAACATGTTACGGTACTTCTCAATAGCACGAAAGGAATTGTACAATTTGTCGTCCATTGCGGCAAATTAGGATTTTGGCAGATGTCAATTTCTATGATATTGTCGAAAAACACAAAAGTTTCAAGTGCACATGGAATAGCATGAAAACGCCTTGATTGACGTTCACTCTATCCTACGTCGTTGCGATGACGATTCCACGCGTGCTATTGAGAGGTACTGTAAGCGGATCCGACTAATAAAAACAAATTTTCTTATGCCGTAATTTTGTTTCGTTGCAGCTAATTGCACGAGCTCTAGTCGTGGAAGCAAAACACCAGCATGCCCTATCGGCTTCACATGACAACGATTTCGAGTTCCCTAACATCTCTCTTGTTCACAAGGCTTATTCTTACATCGAGCATCGAATAGCTTGCTTCAGTCAACTTGTACAATGCATTCCTCGTATTGTACCTCAGCTTCTTGATGTATTCACCCTAGACGAAAACGAAACGGTAAGGTTCAGAAATATAACAGACTTAAAAACCCTGCAACTTTGGAACTTATGTAGCTATTTTCTGTAGATCTTGGATGTCATGGCCCTTCAAATGTGCTTGGAAAACCTAGAACCACTGGAAAAGAGCTTTAACAATTCCGGTGAAGCAAAAAAATGGTGTGATGACGTGATTGCTGTAAGAGCTACAGCAGAGAGGACATTCAATAACACCGAACCAAACCAACTGGAAGATGAAGAGAAAAGAATGAGAATCATTGATTGCTGTAGGTCAGTAAAGAGTGACCCATACTCTACGCACTCCGCATGAGTATCAACGACTAACTCATATGGGCGCGCAAAAGGACTAATTGTTTTCCAGTAAACAAACTAGTTGGACATCATTAGAGAATGACAAAATGAATGAAAGAAAGAAAGAAAGAATGGATGGAGGGATGGATGGATGGATGAATGAATGAATGAATGAAAGAGATTTTAATTAACTTAAAGCGGGTTTTTCCTGAAACCGAAAAAAGACCACACGTAGCTTAGCCAATCAGAACGTACTATTTTCAAACGTCCGGTGCTTTGATTATACTAAACAAGGGTAGTTTTTATTAATTGTTTTTGCTTCCTACAGACCACTGTGGGAGCGTTTAACAGCTGTTCGTCTCTTCATCGAACATGTATATCCCTCAAAGAAGAAAGGCAGAAAACCAGACCCTGAGAACATTATCAAGTTGTGCAAGGTGAGGTTCATCGCTGTGAAAACAAGTAGAAAAATCAATGTGAAGGTGTTCGAAGCACGCGATCAGCAAGAACATGCAGTGCACTTGCGTGCGTGATGTGATTGGTAAAGTGCGTGATGTGATTGTTAACGTGCGTGATGTGATTTATAACGTGCGTGATGTGATTGGTAACGTGCGTGATGTGATTGGTAACGTGCGTGATGTGATTGGTAACGTGCGTGATGTGATTGGTAACGTGCGTG